AAAATCGAAACAATTTCAAATCTAACTTTCAGCTCAGAGTTTATTGATAAACTTAAATCACCCTATAGACATATCATACGCAATTGTATTGATACTGAATTGTGGAATAAAATTGAAGTGTTTGTTAAAAGTACTGCTTTGTTTGCCAATCAGCACGCGACAACACACTGTTCAAACTATTGAACGAAATTGTGTGGACTGTCGATAAGGCGGGCATTTTAATTTTAAATATAGATTATAAGTTAAAAAACTTGCTAGCGCGCATTATGTTTTTTTGCTTGCAAAGCTGTGTCATTCAAATAGATCATAAATACCATACAAAAACAGTTCAATGCTTAAATACAACACACAGTTCCTTTAAAATATATCTCCACAATGGGTTCCCACACACCAAAGGAACATATTTGAATGTTACTGTAGTATACAATTAAAAACGTCAAAAAGGTGCATTTCCGTTCCTTAAGTATACTAAATTGCTATACAAAGTATGTATATATTCAGACGTCATATAGACCAACACTGTTTAATACAGTGGTCCGATTCACCACATGGACCTGGTAATTAAATTGTCATTAATTAACACTAGCAGTATTACCAGGTTTTATTCAGATTTGCACAATATATAAAATACTACATATGTAATTAATTAACTCAGATTGGCATGGACGACAGGAGCAGTGATCTTATGTACATTGATATATGACTGTTAAAGCTGCATTAATCACAAGTGTCGTCCACACATCAAACATATTTAATTAGCTGGAGTTTAATGAAGATAACGATTGCAATGCAGGAAAAGAGATTGTAGATATAAAAACTCTTGTTAATTGATATAACAAATAATTAACACTGCTAGAATTACTCTGAAGTGCTAACAGTTACATTGTATACATCAAGCTGTTTGTAAACGCTAGTTAGCATACACATATTTTTTTGTTTGATAAATTACAAGTACATGATTTATGTTAATGAAAGTTCTTTTTTTTTTTTCAATTTCAAACTATAATCAAGTTATACACGGCATTAATTAATGACAAGGACAGGATTAAACCCCCACCCTAGGTGAGGCTCATCATGGTTGTTGGCAGTACATCACGTTTGGGTGAGATGTTACTAGCCGCGGGCTAAACATGTCTTCAGGTTGTTATTATCTCGTATATCTGTATTACCTGGTGACTTTGACATAGGGCATGATGAATGATTTTACCTGTAATCAGTTGGAGCTTTAATTTGTATATTTTGACAGGTAAGCAGAGATAAGTAATTAAACCTGTTACATCTATTTAACAGCTATAAACAGGTTGACATTTCATTGTTACATATCTGTCTTTGATTGACAAATTGTAATTTTTCTTTTTTTGCAAATTGATTTTTTTTGGCAGAAAATAATGAAGTGGAGTAAGTAAGAGTTTGTGGTTTAATCCATCAGTGTTCCACTGATTATAGGCAGATCTGACAAGGATTGTCTCAGCCTGGTCATACTCCTACAGAAACATCCGATACTAATTAACTGCCTTTTTAAATGTCACTGTAAAATGTCAGTGTGTTGTATTGTCTTGCATGTAGTTCCTCTTGTGTCCTTTTCTATATAATCTCTGGAAATTGCACTAGGGGATGAAAGACAGTCAGGGTAGGGAGGTGGAGGAAATAGGCATATTCTTCTCTTACAGGTCATTACAGAGTAACAAATGAAGTAAAGATTTGATAATCAAAGAGATTGGTGGAGGATAGAAAATCGGGAAGGAGTTTCTCTGACAAGTCATCACTTACTGAGTACTGACAGACCTCGTAATGAAAGTGTGTGGGTAGGTGATTGGAGGAAGACGTCAGATTCTCTGACAAGTTATGGCTTCCTAAAATTAAGAAGGGTCCTCGTAATAAAAGAGAGTGGACAGGTGGACAGAGGGAAACAACATATTCTCTAGGTAATCAGTGCTTTCTAAAATAGTCAGACCTCCCTATAAAGGGATTGGTTAATTCAGTAGGAGAGATCTGCACTGATTCTCTAAGAAATCATCCCTTACTTTTATTGAATACACAGGTGTGTCTCCCATTTTTGATGGGAAAAATTAGCTTAATTGTCACCCTCTTGGGGTAGATAGCCCCATGTAGAATAGCATGTGCTAAATGTGACGTCATAAAAAGTGAATGGCAATTTTAGTATGCCGCAAACATGCCCGACTGTCGGTGAATGAAGTGATAGGATCAGAGAACAAGAATCTTCCCCTATCTTGAGGATGCAACAGAGGAATTTCAAAACCTCAGGCTGATATTTTGGTTGCGTTAACCTCGGTAAAACCTCAGGTTAGAAGACAACTGAAAAATCACCCCTTGGGTTGGAGATTTATCTTACCCATAAGGTATAGGTGGAGATTCTACTAGTCTCTGACAAGTCATCACTTAATTATGAAATACAGTGAGTGTTCATCATGTTTAACTTGAAAAGATTGGTGGACAATCTTTCTATCTCATACTGTCATATTTGTTTAACCTACCTAGTGCCAGCTTTTATTGTGCGTTATATGCTTACCCAAACACTTTCAATCTTATTCCCGAAAGATGTTTGCCCATCATCTGTAAAAAGAATGTTGCTTTTAGAAAAACATGGTGCTGTTTCATAGAGTTGAATATGCTACATAATAATGTCATCGTATGAAAATGAATTATAAGTATGTAATAAAGGGAGACTGCGGTGGCTGATTGGTTAAGGCATCTGACATTCTGGAACCACTAGCCCTTCACCACTGGGCCGCGGTTGCTGAGTGGTTAAGGCATCTGACATTCTCTCCACCACTGGGCCGCGGTTGCCGAGTGGTTAAGGCATTTGACATTCTGGTACCAATAGCCCTCCACCACTGGGCCGCGGTTGCCGAGTGGTTAAGGCATCTGACATTCTGGTCCCACTAGCCCTTCACCACTGGGCCGCGGTTGCTGAGTGGTTAAGGCATCTGACATTCTCGCCACCACTGGGCCGCGGTTGCCGAGTGGTTAAGGCGTCTGACATCCTGGTACCACTAGCCCTCCACCACTGGGCCGCGGTTGCCGAGTGGTAAGGCGTCTGACATTCTGGTACCACTAGCCCTCCACCACTGGGTCGCGGGTTTGAGGCCTACTTGGGGCAGTCGCCAGGTAAAGGCCGGTGGTCGGTGTTTTTTCCCGGGTACTCTTGTTTTCCTCCACCACCAAAACCAGGCACGTCCATAATGACCATAGCTGTTAAGAGGATGTAAAACCTAAGACAAACCAAATCAAATGTAGGTTTTTGTTGGTGTGCATTAATGTTGTTGTTCATTATATGACTGTTTTAGAAATCCGAGGAGGTACGTGATTTTGATGGAGTGTTTGATGATAAACCAAACCATGTGGAGATGGATATGGGGTTCAAATCACCAGAAATGCCCAGAAAGATCTCGCCACCCAAACGGGGTCAAAGGGAATATCCACCACAGGACCAAGTTATCAGTGACGGTCCTAATGACATAGCATGGCAGGATTTTGATGAGAAGGCATACATCGACAAGAAGAGGTGCACATCTGGACAGGACTGTTACTCGGCAAACAAGTTCAACCAACTAGCCAGTGATAACGTAAAGAGTAATCGTCATGTAATGGACACACGCCACACCATGTAAGTCATAAAATATAGCTGTGGACATGTGTAGGTATAACGTCATGTACACACGCCATTCCATGTAAGTCATAAAATATAGCTGTGGACATGTGTAGGTATAATGTCATGTACACTTGCCACCCCATGTAAGTCATAAAATATAGCTGTGGACATGTGTCGGTATAATGTCATGTACACTTGCCACTCCATGGAAGTCATAAAATATAGCTGTGGACATGTGTAGGTAAAATGTCATGTACACTTGCCACTCCATGTAAGTCATAAAATTAAGCTGTGGACATGTGTAGGTATAATGTCATGTACACTTGCCACTCCATGTAAGTCATAAAATATAGCTGTGGAGATTTGTAGGGATAATGTCATGTACACATGCCACTCAATGTAGGTCATAAAATATAGCTGTAGACATGTGTAGGTATAATGTCAGGTACACACGCCACTCAATGTAGGTCATAAAATATAGCTGTGGAAATGTGTAGGTATAATGTCATGTAAACATGCCACTCAATGTAGGTCATAAAATATAGCTGTGGACATGTGTAGGTATAATGTCATTTACACATTTCACAGCATGTAAACCATAAAATATAGCTTAACCCTTTCATCCCTAGGTAACTTAAGAGTCTACCAAACATTTATCTGGGTGAGTCCATTATGGTCTACAATGGTGAAAGGGTTAAGACATGTATAGGCATAACATGAAATGTGTATATAAGATATAGCTACAGACATGTGTAGGCATACATGTAAAGTAAATCCTAAAATATAGCTTAAGACATGTATAGGTCATAGTAATAAGTATATATATTGTCGCACGTAGATGTCGCACGTAGATCCAGGCCTGTCTAAACTTATATGTGTAGGTCATAGTAATATGTATATACGTTGTCACACGTAGATCCAGGCCTGTCTAAACTTACATATGTAGGTCATAGTGATATGTATATACGTTGTCACTAGTAGATCCAGGCCTGTCTAAACTTATATATGTAGGTCATAGTGATATGTATATACGTTGTTACACGTAGATCCAGGCCTGTCTAAACTTATATGTGTAGGTCTTAGTAATATGTATATACGTTGTCACACGTAGATCCAGGCCTGTCTAAACTTAATTTAGAATAACTGGAATCAATGATGTAACTTGATATCTGCAGTCTGGTATAAATTTAAACATATTGCCACAAAAAGAAAGAAGCTGGAACTTTTTTTTCTTTTTGTGAGTCAATACATTATCTTTATAATGACTTAACATTTGGTGTTATTACGTGTTTTCTATGCATTTAAAATTGATGTGATGGTGTGCTCTGACACACAGATCAAAATAATAGAAGAATTGATATGATAAATGTATATTCCATTGACCCTAAATGGAAGAATTACCCTGATCTTTTAAAAGCAAACACCTAAAAAATGTTAGGGCAGGCTGGTTGATTTGTTTGGTGAATATGTAGGTCATGACAAATGACCATGTCTTCTGTTTGACTGTTAGCTATGTTAAATATATGTCATATAATGCTTGTATGTTGATCAATTACAGGTGTAAGTCTGCCGACCTCTCCACAGACCTGCCTGCCACTACTGTCATCATCACCTTCCACAATGAGGCTAGGTCCACCCTCATCCGTACTATCGTTAGGTAGGTTACCATGGTTTCCTATAGGTATTCCATTCCAGGTCATTGGTTACTGTTTCACTCAAGCATAATCCTAGGTCAATTTTTTTGTGAAAATAGAAATATTGCTTTCAAAAAAGAAAAACACAATTCATTCAAATAATATCATTTAAAGATAATTTATGAAAATATACCTAATTCTTGGTCGCTTTTATGTTTTTTATCAGCTGAAATGTTGTAATAAAGTCCAGGTGGAATAATATTTCACCACTTGGAGATTGACTTGGATCTGTTTATTAGGGAATTTCTTATTAAAAAAAATGTGAACAATTTGACACACAGTTAATTCATTACAAATTTATAATTTGACATCAGATTGTACAAAATGATGTGTATTTAATACAATAAACTAACATTAGGGCTTATGTATGATATTCTACACCTGGTTCCTTGTCAAGGGTATTGTATAAAAAACCATGTAATTTGTACACCTTTGTAATTTGCAATGTTACTTTTTGGACTGAAAATGCTGAAACAAAGCTTTAAGATATAACATATATCTGAAACCAACAGTTAAGTGAGTTTAATGAAGCAAAATGATTCTTTGTGTATTTGTACAGGGTGTAATGTTATGTAAGGTCCAACTAACAACTAGATAATTTTGTAAAAAATATTTGATATTCTTATGTATTTATGACATAAACATGTTTACTGTTATATAATTCTGTGTACTTGCAGTGTCTTCAACAAAAGTCCAGCTCATCTCATCACGGAGATCATACTGGTGGATGACTTTAGTGATGATCGTAAGTAATGAGGAGACGGGTCCGCATCATACTCACTAACAGGGGATGAGTAAAGTTTGAGAAATGGATAATTGCTATATACCTCTCACAAATAAAGTTACCAGGGAACAAAGGTAACTCTAGGAACCCCTCACAAGTCACAAACAAAGTTACCAGGGAGACAGGAGGAGGGTCGGGGTAGGGTTAACATCTAATAACCCATCACAAGTCACAAACATAGTTACCAGGGAGACAGGAGGAGGGTCAGGGTAGGGTTAACATCTAATAACCCCTCACAAGTCACAAACATAGTTATAAGGGAGACAGTAGGAGGGTCGGGGTAGGGTTAACATCTAATAACCCCTCACAAGTCACAAACATAGTTATAAGGGAGACAGGAGGAAGGTAGGGGTAGGGTTAACATCTAGTAACCCCTCACAAATCACAAACATAGTTACCAGGGAGACAGGAGGAGGGTAGGGGTAGGGTTAACATCTAGGAACCCCTCACAAGTCACAAAGTAACCAGGCAGACAGGAAGAGAGTAGGGGTAGGGTTAACATCTAGTAACCCCTCACAAGTCACAAACAAAGTTACCAGGGAGACGGGAGGAGGGTAGGGTTAACATCTAGTAACACCTCACAAATCACAAACATAGTTACGAGGGAGACAGGAGGAGGGTAGGGTTAACATCTAGTAACCTCTCACAAGTCACAAACATAGTTACCATGAAGACAGGAGGAGGGTAGGGGTAGGGTTAATATCTAGCAACCCCTCACAAGTCACAAACAAAGTTACCAGGGAGACAGGAGGAGTGTAGGGGTAGGGTTAACATCCAGTAACCCCTCACAAGTCACAAACAAAGTAACTAGGGAGACAGAAGGAGGGTAGGGGTAGGGTTAACATCTAGTTACCCCTCACAAGTCACAAACATAGTCACCAGGGAGACAGGAGGAGGGTAGGGTTAACATCTAGTAACCCCTCACAAGTCACAAACAAAGTAACTAGGGAGACAGAAGGAGGGTAGGGGTAGGGTTAACATCTAGTAACCTCTCACAAGTCACAAACATAGTTACCATGAAGACAGGGGGAGGGTAGGGGTAGGGTTAACATCTAGTAGCCCCTCACAAGTCACACACACAGTTACCATGGGAGACAGGAGGAGGGTAGGGTTAACATCTAGTACCCCATCACATGTCACAAAGTGACCAGGGAGACAGGAGGAGGGTAGGAGTAGGGTTAATATCTAGTAACCCCTCACAAGTCACAAACATAGTCACCAGGGAGACAGGAGGAGGGTAGGGGTAGTGTTAACATCTAGTAATCCCTCACAAGTCACAAACAAAGTTACCAGTAGGGTTAACATCTAGTTACCCCTCACAAGTCACAAACATAGTCACTAGGGAGACAGAAGGAGGGTAGGGGTAGGGTTAACATCTAGGAACCCCTCACAAGTCACAAACAAAGTAACAAGGGAGACAGGAGGAGAGTAGGGGTAGGGTTAACATCTAGTAACACCTCACAAGTCACAAACAAAGTAACTAGGGAGACAGAAGGAGGGTAGGGGTAGGGTTAACATCTAGGAACCCCTCACAAGTCACAAACAAAGTAACCAGGGAGCCAGGAGGAGGGTAGGGGTAGGGTTAACATCTAGGAACCCCTCACAAGTCACAACGTAACCAGGGAGACAGGAGGAGGGTAGGGGTAGTGTTAACATCTAGTAATCCCTCACAAGTCACAAACAAAGTTACCAGTAGGGTTAACATCTAGTTACCCCTCACAAGTCACAAACATAGTCACTAGGGAGACAGAAGGAGGGTAGGGGTAGGGTTAACATCTAGTTACCCCTCACAAGTCACAAACATAGTCACTAGGGAGACAGAAGGAGGGTAGGGGTAGGGTTAACATCTAGGAACCCCTCACAAGTCACAACGTAACCAGGGAGACAGGAGGAGGGTAGGGCTAGTGTTAACATCTAGTAATCCCTCACAAGTCACAAACAAAGTGACAAGGGAGACAGGGGGAGGGTGGGGGTACTGTTAACATCTAGTAACCCCTCACAAGTCACACACACAGTTACCAGGGAGACAGGAGGAGGGTAGGGTTAACATCTAGTAACCCATCACATGTCACAAAGTGACCAGGGAGACAGGAGGAGGGTAGGAGTAGGGTTAACATCTAGTAACCCCTCACAAGTCACAAACATAGTTACCATGAAGACAGGAGGAGGGTAGGAGTAGGGTAAACACATAGTTACAAGGGAGACAGGAGGAGGGTTGGGGTAGGGTTAACATCTAGTAACATCTCAAAAGTCACAAACAATGTAACAAGGGAGACCGTGGAAGTGTGGGGGTACTGTTAACATCTAGTAACACCTCACAAGTCACAAACAAAGTTACTTGGTAGGCAGGAAGTTACCTATCACAAGTAAAATTACCTGGAAGATTGGGGTAACCTCATACAACTTTTTGTAAGTTAATACATAACATTGGAAATGGATGGTAATTTTTCCAATCATATTATAACATTTTAAATTTATATATCTCAATTCACAGTATTAAACATATATTTCAGTACAATTGTTGCTATTTTGAATGTTTCGTCTTGCCCTATGATACAGCATCTGATGGCTTGGAGGTGGAGAAAATAAAAAAAGTGAAACTGATCCGTAACAATAAGAGGGAGGGGCTTATGAGGTCAAGGATCAAGGGTGCTGATGCTGCCTCGGCGACGGTGCTGACCTTCCTTGACAGCCATTGCGAATGTAACGAGAAGTGGCTTGAGCCCCTGTTGGAGCGCGTGGCTGAGGTCAGTAGAATTTGTTCCAGTTTTGTTCAGCCTTTTCTGATGTAGATAATAACAATAATGATAATAATATACAACATTATATAGCGCCCTATATAATTTGTAAAATTACTCTAAATCGCTTTACAACATATGCATAATAGTATTAGTTATAATTGTGAAACAAATTCAAAGGCTTACAATCACTTTTACGCATTAGGCAAGCAGATAATCATCGCAATGTGCACATAAATGAATAAATAAAGGGTGGTATTTACATGACATGACAAAGAGTCTAAAACGCAGATGTGGAGATGCTTACAAGTTAGTTCTTTTACAGTGACTGAACTAGTGGTGTAATATTTTCATGTTTCAAGGACAATGAAATGTTGGAAGTCATAAAGAATAATGATCACAATTTGTAGCGAGTGTTTTGTATTTGTACAGGATAAACATCGTGTGGTAAGCCCGATCATTGATGTCATCAACATGGACAACTTCGAGTATATTGGTGCATCTGCTGATCTCAAGGGAGGTTAGTCATAATGTTTTGTGACTACTTCTAAATGTTTCGGAGGAACAAGATATGCATATAAATTTTCAGGAACTTCACCCTGAGGTCAATGCCACAAGCAGTGATCAAAGTTCAGATCATCATTCCATATATTTGGCTTCAAGGTCACTGAAAATCAAATAAAACAACTCTTTAGATTGAGTATTGATGACCATTGTTTCTATAGCTATCTTAAATTAAACCTTGTGTTGGATTGCGATATGACCGTGTTACCTCTGTGAGATTATATGTAACCATGGTAACAGTTTTATGTTGAAGGTTAGATGATTGCTTGTTAAAGGTGTATGGATATGATTTGGTAACATGTATATGTAAAACATCAGGTTAAGTTACATGTTATGGATGTGATTTGGTAACATGTATATGTAAATCATCAGGTTAAGTTACATGTTATGGATGTGATTTGGTAACATGTATATGTAAATCATCAGGTTAAGTTACATGTTATGGATGTGATTTGGTAACATGTAACTTAACCTGATGTTTTACATATACATGTAAAACATCAGGTTAAGTTACATGTTATGGATGTGATTTGGTAACATGTATATGTAAATCATCAGGTTAAGTTACATGTTATGGATGTGATTTGGTAACATTTATATGTAAAACATCAGGTTAACAGTTACATGTTATGGATGGGATTTGGTCACATGTATATGTAAAACATCAGGTTAACAGTTACATATTGATGTCAGATTCCAATTCATAACTCCAGTTTTAATTTTTAACAAGGTTAACGTTTTACCACTGTAGGCTGTAAAATCTCACAGCCGTATGACAAGGTATGTTTTGTTTGTGGAACTCATGTTCCTCCCTTCTTTATTTTGGTTTTCAATTTACCTGGCGATGTTTTTTTACTCCTATTTGAATGTTAAAGGTAAGGTGTTGAACTAAGATTGGGACTCTGGGATCATCATTTCTACTACTGCATGAGAAATGTGTATTATATAGAATCTTTATTCCGTCATTTTAAATGTTTTACTTGCATTTGTATCTTTATATATAAATCAACTATGGATTCCTCTGCAACAGCTAATGATATGGCTCGGATTCAAAAAGCAAACACATCAATGGTCATCCATATTCGTAAAACAAACAGACTGGCACAGACTACTATTACAGCTGGTCTAAATGAGAAGGACAACAGTCTGTTGTTATTCTCTGTCATGTTTATTCAGATCTGAAGTAAATGAAAAGCTGTGCGACTAATACACAAGCTACAGAAACAAATAAAGTTACACATTTCAATACAGTGCAATAACAATTTGCCAATATAAGGGAAATAACTCTTACAGAACAATCACTGGCATGATACACAACCCCAATACAACTTTTACAAACTTACAATTGTATATATTCTGATACAAGATTAGAATTGATACATAGTTACTGAGAAGTATGCATGTATTTCTCAGATTTCATGTACTTTATAAATCTCTTTTAACAAATTCTATAAGATGTGCTAGTAACAATATCACATGATACCTGTCCATGTGTATGGCGTGGAGATGTGGTATAATGTAAGTACTGGTGAGTTCTAATATTTGTGTGAAGTTCTGAAAATGTAACTGAAATAAAAACTCTCTTAACAAATTGATATGATCTGAAATTCATTCAAGAATGTCTCTAATCCATACAGTCTATCTAAATGTTTCTGATAACATAACATGTACCTTGACAAAAAATTAAAAAGGCAGTCTCACAAAAAATACACATAGTTACAAATTGGTATACATCTATAATTTCTGATTTGATCAGTAATAAATCAGAAACACTTATTTAGACCTAGTCCAATTACAAGTTTTATATAGTCCAATTACAAGTTTTGTATGACACACAGATAAAAATTATAAAAACTCTTATGCTCAAAGTTACATCTATCCATTTGAAGGTCTTATAAGGTTCAAATTAACCCATCAAAGTGTACGACTCAAAGACTTTTTACGCCAAACTGACGACCATGAATGAACCAGTCAAAAACAGAATCAACGACTTTACACAATGACCAGAACAAACCACACTGTAGAAAACCAACATACCTGGTATGTAACACGTAAAACAACCACAACTCCGCTGTACAACTCAAGATCACACTATAGGATATGATACGTGGATGTGGTAGTTTCGTTAAGTAAGACTCTACACAAACACTTTACTGCAGATTTATCGTTAGGACATTTATATAAATACATCAGTTTCATCCCTTCTTCACATAGCACATACCAGTACATTACATTGACACTCTAGATCTGTGTACACCTGTTGTGTGCTCCCTGTATACCGTCTGGGTTGCCTCCCCTGTATACTGTATGGGTTGCCTCTTCATGCTTCAGTTATTGCCCTTATTCTAAAAAGCTTGACATACTTGGAGTTCATTCAAACATCATGGAGTCATTTTGTTTTTTGAATAAAATTTGAAAATTTGGAAATTGAGATAGAGACTGCCATAAACAGCAAAAGCTCATATAAGATGTAGATAAAAATATCAAAAGTATGAATATCATTTAATAATGTTAAGTTTTAAATATGAAAAAATAATAATTCAGAAGTAAATGTTTTGTAGGTTTTGACTGGAATCTTGTTTTCAAATGGGACTATATGACGTACGAGGAGAGAAACAAGAGGAACAGCAATCCTATAGGGCCAATCAGGTAAGTGTTTACAAACCTATTCAGCCAATCAGGTATGCTGTAACAGCCAATCATATGTGTTGTTAATGAATCTGTAATGTTGCCTCCTATCAGGTACATTGTATGGCTAAGAGCTGTTCCAGAAATAACCATATGGGAGAAGTGGGAGGTACCTTTACAGAGACCCCACCACCCATCACATATTTAAAGTGAGATAATATCAGGAATTGTAGGCAGATCTGGTTTTAAAGCCACAGCCCATAATATCTTAATACAGATACCTTTCAACTCGGGGCCCCGTTCAGTATTTTAAGCTGAAAAAGCCCCAAAATGTTGCTCTAAACTTTTTCCTGACACATATATTTTTCATGTCATATCTTTTTCTAGTTAATATGAAAACATAGCAAAATAATACTGAGGTTAATAATAATTAACTTACTGTTTTGTACCTAACAGAACACCGATGATAGCTGGAGGTTTGTTCGCCATTGAAAAGAGTTGGTTTGATGAGCTTGGAAAATATGACATGAAAATGGATGTTTGGGGTGGTGAAAATCTAGGTATGTATTGTATTTCATTTCTCAGAAATGTAGACAGTAGAAAAGCTGGGTACCACATGCTTACTTAACCTGATTAAGCTGACACAGGTGCTACGGTACACGTTGTAGGTATGACAGTTTTGGTTGCCGAACACAACATCATCAGTCTATGTCTGAGAAAAGGGACATCTTCACACAGATGGATATTGACATGGTTAATGTCATTGTTCTGTATTAATGTAAGATATGCCATCACCAGTCTGTGTTTTCTCAGAGATATATGACGTCATCATCCTATGTGCTTCTGCTGAAATATGACAGCATTATTCTTCATGATCTCCTAGATATCTCATCATTATTCTTCATGAACTCCGAGATATGACATCCTTATTCTTTGTGATCTCCGAGATATGACAGCATTGTTCTTCATGATCTCCGAGATATCACATCATTATTCCTCATGAACTCGGAGATATCACATCATTATTCTTTGTGACCTCCGAGATATGACAGCATTATTCTTCATGATCTCCGAGATATCACATCATTATTCTTCATGAACTCGGAGATATCACATCATTATTCTTTGTGATCTCCGAGATATGACAGCATTATTCTTCATGATCTCCGAGATATGACATCATTATTCTTCATGAACTCTGAGATATGACATCCTTATTCTTTGTGATCTCCGAGATATGACATCATTATTCTTTGTGATCTCCGAGATATGACATCATTATTCTTCATGATCTCTGAGATATGACATTACTACTTTGTGTGTACTGAAATATATATGACATCACTACTTTGTGTGTATTCTGATATATGACATCACTGCTTTGTGTGTACTCTGAGATATGACATCACTACTTTGTGTGTACTGAAATATGACATGGCTACTATTTACGGTTGCAGAAATATCTTTTCGAGTGTGGCAGTGTCACGGATCACTGGAGATCATTCCCTGTAGTCGAGTAGGACATGTCTTCAGGAAACAACACCCCTACACCTTCCCTGGAGGAAGTGGCAACGTCTTTGCCAGGTAACACTAGAACCATTGTCTATGGTGGAACAATATATTTACTGCAAAGCAAATTACCAAGGCACTGAAGTATCTTAATTCAGTATTCTAATTGAGTTGCCAGTTATCCAATAATAAAAATTGAATATTGATGGCAAATACTAGGGTAGTGTCAGTTTTTAGGTCACATGAGCTTTAGCTCAAGTGACCTTTGGCTATCCGTCTTCGTCCGTCGTCGTCCTTTGTCCAGCGTCCGTCGTGTGTCGTCCGTCGTCAGTCGTCCGTTAACATTTTATATTTTCAAATTAAGCTGAAATACTGTCAAAGGGATTTCATTGATACTTCATGGGAATGTTACTGACAACTCCCTGACCAAATGTTGTTATTTTTCAGATCGATCAGAAATCCAATATGGCCGCCAAGGCCGCCATTTTGAAAAACTATTTCAAACTTAAAGTCAAGTTCTACTGGGTCGATTTAACTGAAACTTGGTAGGAATTATCAACTTATGGTCCTTTTTTTGTTGTTGATGTTTGGTGCCATACAGAAATGGTAACCATAGTAAAAACAGTTTATACCTAGTTTCTTCAAAAAATGGCTGTTCCACCATCTGTTAAACCATTTGTATAAAAAGTATCAGGAATCAAAGAAAAATATTGCCAGGTATGATAATAGACTCATTGCTGTTTTGAATGTAAATATGAGGATGGAAATGTAGCGTGTTAATACTGATGATGATATGTAAGTTACAACACAATTCTCTTCACATTCCTCTAAGATGTGGTACTGCACATTATGTGTGTTAACTGTATACCATCATTAATGTTACAAATTTGCCTTTCAGTTTTTAAATGTATTAAGATTTGTTATGTAACAGAATATTGTTTTATTGATGGTGAACGTTACTAAAGTGCCTTCTCTGTAATTAAATGTTTTTGTCACAGGAACACGCGGCGAGCAGCAGAGGTATGGATGGACGAGTATAAGGAGTTCTACTACGCAGCTGTCCCCTCGGCTCGTATGGTCTCCTTTGGCGAGTGAGTTCCTACCAGTGTATAATCAGTCGGCATGCCATGTTAACCACTTCGTGAACATTTAATAAGCGATGTAATGATTTCCTTCAATGCTGCTTACTAGTCTTTGGCATACTGTATGCGTCGGAGAAAAAAATAATTCATAATTGTTTCTAGTGATCAAACTTGTAATAATATAAATCAGTGATAAGTCTTGTCGTTTAGATTTTCTTCTTCTCTATTTCAGTCTCACTTGTAAATGTTGATGCAGTAATATTTCGTAATTCATGTTTTCATTTTTGTTCAATGTCTATTATCTACGGATAAAAATGTCCTATGGAAAGTAATAATAAATAGATATGGATGGTATAATAGTTGCAATTTTTTATATGAATTGATAAAAAGGATGTCATGAAATGTTTTTTGATAATTAAAAGGTGTTTGTCAAAAAATAAATATTAATTGGTCTACTTTGCTATTTTCAGTATCTCTGAGAGGTTGAAGCTGCGTGAAAATCTGCAATGCCATAATTTCAAGTGGTTCTTGGAGAATGTTTACCCAGAACTCAAGTATGTGTTGTACTACATGTGCGGTACAGTGTCTTATACTTAATTAAACTTCGTACATTTGACAGCTGTTGCATAACAAGTTATAAACTTATATTGATCAGCATTTTATTGCCGAAATGAAAGTAAGCTGGAAGTTTTATTATGGATCAGTGACAATACACAACCCTTTGAATTGTGATATGAATAAGAGGGGAATAATTACTATTTAATTTGTACTTTGCATTCTTAATATAGCTTTATTTACATAGCTATTGAACATATATTTGTGGATAAGGAATCAATAAAGTTCCTGTTGAGATTCACAGATGTTCTTCCATGTTTGTGACAGGGTCCCTAACACACAGGATGTGGCGTTTGGCTGTATACAGCAGGACACTATGTGTGTCGACACACTGGGCAACTTTGCTGATGGCACCCTGGGAGTCTTCCCATGTCACTTTGCTGGAGGAAATCAGGTAGTTACAGTCAGAGAAATTTTCTTTAAAAGCAAACATATTGAAATTCTGTGTATAGGAAAATAGAAACTACAAGAAATATATATCAGTAATGCATGGGGAAGATATCCATGTTGTCAGAAGTTGTAGGCAATATTTGTTATATCATATATAATCTTTGTAAAAATAATAGTAGTTTGACATGGTATAACTATGTTAATTCAGAAAAGGTCGGGTGAATATTAGAAATGAGACCACCCTTACACGAAATGTGATGTCAGGAAATATGTTAAGATCCCCCTATCAGCGAGTTATGGTTGGTTATCATGTTTACCTAACTAGGGTTGACAATTGCCATGAATCTTTGATGTCACAATGGAAGATGACGTCCCAAAGACATAATTAAAAGACTGACAAATGAAATTACATCACAGTGTTAGCCACTAGATGGTAACTAAAAACGTCTACCAACTCCTGGTATGTTTATACAACAATTTGAGAGTGAAGAAACCGATAGGGGTTGTGGGAGAAATTAGTTTATCATTTGTGCTATAAACTCCAAGAAATGGTACTTCAAAAAGATCCATAGGTTTGCAGTATGTATTTTGGTCAGTTCATGTGTCACGTTGTCAAGGTATAAGGTATTCACTTCTCTTGTTACATACAAATTGTACAATAGCTGATATGTTTTTATGCAAATTATCCCAGAAATATTGCCTTTTGTTCATATTTGCCAGAGCATGTGGATGGTTAAATGTAGCTTCAAACCTCTGGCTAAACAGCTTGTGGAGGGTCAGAATTTAAAATCACATGACATATGACTTGTTATTATTGCCTTTAGCATTCTGTCATGATTTATTCTGTCAGGTTTATTGACATGATAAAAAATGAGATATTGATATAGGAAGGCATTTAAAATATGTTTTCTCAGGATGATAAAACTATAACATGTACTGACATCAGAAAGTTTAATATCCATTAACTGATTGCAGGAATTTTCATTGGGCAAAGATGGAATGATTCGACATCTTGACCTCTGCTTGACCTTGACATCAACATCAGAGGGTAATACCATCAAACTTTACCAGTGTCAGGAAAACAACAACTTACAGGTAAGTTATTAACCACTTTTTTGTTTGAGGTAAATCAGGAAGCAATCAATGCTTCAGGTAAATCAAGGAGTGCTCCTCTGTCCCAGGTACATCACACACTACTCCAGGTAAATCAAGGAGTGCTCCTCTGTCCCAGGTACATCACACACTACTCCAGGTAAATCGTGGAGTGCTCCTCTGCCCCAGGTACATCACACACTACTCCAGGTAATTCATGGAGTGCTCCTCTGCCCCAGGTACATCACACACTACTACAGGTAAATCATGGAGCACTCCTCTGCCCAAGGTACATCACACACTACTCCAGGTAAATCATGGAGTGCTCCTCTGCCCAAGGTACATCACACACTACTACAGGTAAATCATGGAGTTCTCCTCTGCCCCAGGTAAATCACACACTACTCCAGGTAAATCATGGAGCACTCCTCTGCCCCAGGTACATCACACACTACTCCAGGTAATTCATGGAGTGCTCCTCTGCCCCAGGTACATCACACACTACTCCAGGTAATTCGTGGAGTGCTCCTCTGCCCCAGGTACATCACACACTTCTCCAGGTAAATCAAGGAGTACTCCTCTCCCCCAGGTACATCACACACTACTCCAGGTAAATCATGGGGCACTCCTTTGCCTCAGGTAAATAACTATAATATATATATCAGGATCTCTATGTCTGTAATATAGCATACATCTGTAATAGCATACATCTGTAAGTGTGTAAAATAGCATACATCTGAAAGTATGTAATACAGCATACATCTGTAAGTGTGTAATATAGCATGCATCTGAAAGTATGTAATACAGCATACATCTGTAAGTCTGTAATATAGCATGCCTCCTAGAGTCTGTAATATAGCATACATCTATAAGTCTGTAATATAGCATACATCTGAAAGTATGTGATACAGCATACATCTGTAAGTCTGTAATATAGCATGCCTCCTAGAGTCTGTAATATAGCATACATCTGTAAGTCTGTAACATAGCATCCATCTGTAAGTCTGTAATATAGCATGCATCTGTTAGTCTGTAATATAGCATACATCCTAGAGTCTGTAATATAGCATGCCTCCTAAAGTCTGTAACATAGCATACATCTGTAAGTCTGTAATATAGCATACATCTGTAAATCTGTAATACAACATGCCTCCTAGAGTCTGTAATATAGAATACATCTGTAAGTCTGTAATATAGCATACATCTGTAAGTCTGTAATATATCTATATCTGTAAGTCTGTAATATAGCATGCATCCTAGAGTCTGTAATATAGCATGCATCCTAGAGTCTGTAATATAGCATACATCTGTTAGTCTGTAATATAGCATACATCTATAAGTCTGTAAGATAGCATACATCCCAGAGTCTGTAATATAGCATACATCTGTAAGTCTGTAAGATAGCATACATCTGTAAGTCTGTAAGATAGCATACATCTGTAAGTCTGTAAGATAGCATACATCTGTAAGTCTGTAAGATAGCATACATCTGTAAGTCTGTAATATAGCATGCATCTGTAAGTCTGTAATATAGCATACATCTGTAATATAGCATACATCTGTTAGTCTGTAATATAGCATACATCTGTAAGTCCATAATATAGCATACATCTGTAAGTCTGTAATATAGCATACATCTGTAAGTCCATAATATAGCATACATCTGTAAGTCTGTAATATAGCATACATCTGTAAGTCTGTAATATAGCATACATCTGTAAGTCTGTAATATAGCATACATCTGTAAGTCTGTAATATAGCATACATCTGTAAGTCTGTAAGATAGCATACATCTGTAAGTCTGTAAGATAGCATACATCTGTAAGTCTGTAAGATAGCATACATCTGTAAGTCTGTAATATAGCATACATCTGTAAGTTTAAGAAGAATTGATAGTTTTGGCTTAGTTTGCTTTACAAACTCTCATGACAGGTTCATGCAAACTTTTACTGCTTTGAAGGGTAAAACATTTGCTGTTAACATCCAACAAAGAAGTAAACTATACCCTAGCATAATTATCACTAAGTAATTTGTGTTTTACTTTGAAATTTCCACTTTTGTATGTGTTGCAGGTGTGGAAACGATACAATGAGGACGTTATGCTGAAGAGTAAACACCTAGATCTCTGTCTGGACAGTCGGGAAGTGCAGACAAAGAATAAGGGGCTCACCGCCAACAAGTGTGATACAGATTCTTCCTCGCAACGTTGGACCTTCCAGGTCTCTAGGAACTGAGGACCAAAGTCATGGCAGCCTTACAATGAAGCTTTAGTCATGTTCAGGATCTGCCAAAAAAGTCAAATGAAATCCAAGTTGTAACAGTTTTCCAGGTTATGCCATAACTGCATGCTACAGCTTTACTCCATCTCAGGGTCCGTGTGTTATTTGTTGTTTGTCTGGTAAATCTCCAGTTGTCTCCCCCTCACATAGCATTGGTATCAACTGTTTTAACCAACCCAGTCAATTACTACTGCAACAATATTTACAGTTGCAAATGTGGAAACCATAGTATACATGTAGGTCACTGCTCTGCGCATAGCCATTGGCAAACACAGGAACCATAGGTCACAATTGCCCATATCCATTTGTTAACACAGGAATAGTAGTATAGGTCACTGTTCTACCCATGATCAGTGAACCGTAGCATTAGTTAACATGGCAGTATAGGTCACTGTTCTACCAATGGTCAGTGAACCGTAGCATTAGTTAACATGGCTGTAGAGGTCACTGTTCTACCCATGATCAGTGAACCGTAGCATTAGTTAGCATGGCATATATGTAAGTGTTATGTACATGGTCAGTGAACCATAGCATTAGTTAACATGGCAGTCTAGGTTAGTGTTATGCCCGTGGTCAGTGAGCCGTAGCATCAGTCATGGAGTGAGAACTGGGAGGTTTATCAGACACTGTTCCATGTGATTTTAAAACTAACTGAATTCCTGCTGAGCAGGGGTGTCGGGACTGCAGTGGTCGTTGTTTACATCAAATATATATTGTCAATTTTTATATTATCCTACTGATTAACTTGTACTTATTTTACTAATTATTGCACCTCGTGTGCAAATGATATGATATCTAGGTAGGATATTGCACTGAATGGTTATCAAGGGATTAAAACAAAATGTGATTATGAAGTTAGGATGTGAAAGGAAATGGATTATGATGAGGATAATATTTAATTATTTTATGGAACAAACAACATTTGAGCTGGCAATCAGTTTTGTTTCTGGATGAAATGAAAATAAAAATAAACCTGATAACTATTAGACAGGCACACTTTCCAGAACAGTCTTTAAATTTAGATTTGATGAAGAAGGTATGAGACAATATATAAACATTTAGAGAAAGGGGGATATTTCATTAAAAATAAGTACAAACTTAACAATAAGTATTACAATTTTGTAAAGATCTGACATATGACATAAATATGAAAGAGGTTGTAGGAAATGATTCAGGCTCTGTAACATAGTAGATTTTTAGAAGTCTTAGAAGCCATGGATAGAGCGATGCTTTCAGACATTCATATGATACCTGTTAATATATTTATATAGTTATGTAAGAGGGAGGAATACGGCAGCGTCTGATTTTATAATTCATTTCAATGGGATTGACATGTTATTTAACAGCTCTAGGACCAATTTTATAAATTTTGCATCCAAGTCCCTCACATTTCATCTACATAATCAAGTTATAATCAGAGTTTTGTGAGATATCAGAATGATAATCATATGTCTGTTGTCTATCCATATTTTGTTATTGTTAGTATCGTACAAATGACAGCCAGCTTCCTGACAGTGTATGTCATGTATACCATCTTCTACGCAACTGTGTACATTTTCTGATCATCAATTTCAGACTATGCCAAACTATCAATTAATAGTGTGGTTATAGTATGTCATGGAAGATCAGGGTAAATGAGTCATCATCACTGCTTCATCAGCTTCAGTTTTGATAAACCACTTGGTTGTAAAGTCACTATCAAACAACAGTGTTTTTATCAAGAAATCACAATTGAATGGCCGATCAAAAAGTAGGTGATTGGACATTGGGGATCTATCATTAATCCTTCGGATTGGTCAACTTGACGCCAGGATCTGAGCTTGTTAAACAGACTGGCATGTTATAAATTTTGCCTGACAATCATAACACAAGGGATTAAGCCAGCATTGCAGTTTGTCCTTTACCATGTAGTAATTATCATTCACTTTCATTTTCAGTGTTGTCATTATTAATTCAATAGAAACAAAATGCATTTCACTCCATAATATAAATCAAGAAATTACAGAGAGAAATCAAAACATTTTCTCATTTGAGAATGACTTAAGAGACCCACCCAATCATATTCCACTGATTTATGTAAAAAAAACGAATCTTGGAATGAGTATTGAATTTCCAGTTTTATTTCATTTTTATATATGTACATTTCATTTCTCATGTACCATAAAAACAAAAATTATGTGATTTTCTGATAGTTTTATTTTTAAGCCCGTTTTGTGATTTACCCCTATGCCTTTGGTGCCCCAAGACCACACTTTATATCACACTTCTGTGCAAGTTTTTTTTGTATGTAATACAATAAGACATAATTAAGTAAATAAAATCAAAAAGATAAAATATGGAATTAAACAGCTCAAAAAGGCACCAAACATTTCAAAATCCCATTTATAAACAATACTGTTCACAGACATATGACTGTTGAAAGGTGATGAATGTCGGGTTAAGGTTGGATATATCAATAAACGTCCAACTGATGCCCAATATAACCCCAATATTGTACCTGTGTGTCCTTAGCATTCCCTAGAGTTACCTCCCCTAGAATTACCTCCTCTAGATTAACCTTTATATTTACCTTGTTTATTACTTATTTAATTTATTTTCAGGATAGTTTTATTTATACTTGGAAAAAAAATATGATTTAAGGATCCCCGTACTTCTGCCCAAAATCGTCAGCTATGCATTGCAAACAGTTTCTTCTGGTATAACTATAGCTATAATAACTTATAATAATAAATCATTTCTGAAAAGACGACCATAACTTGCAGTATTGCAGAGATAACAGGGATTTGAATCCTGGACTTCAGATTATTATACTATTGCTTTAACTGACTGAGCTCCCTAGTCAACATAAGTCCTTTCCCAACTATACTCAGTTACAGCCTTAACAAAATTAAGGGAGGTGACTATATATACGAAAAAACACAGTGTAGCGGAACAGGGATCCTAGCTTAATCAGAGTATTTATAAAAGAATTAGTGTTACAAATGAGCTTAACAAAACATATAGTTTGCAAGTTTGAGACAACAGCAGGCAATCGTGTCAATCAGCTGTTCTTATATCAGTTTTACCCAAAGTTATCAATCCTTATACCAATTAAACATAGTGTAGAATTTAGTTTATTTGTGTATCATCAATAATCCATATTGTATACTAAACTAGTACATTATACTTGAAAGGCTATTTCACAATTCATGGTGCAAAATATTTAAAAGATAATGAATATTTTCTTGACCATGTAGTTTGATTAAAAATTTAGAATCAGTTAGAAAAATGTAAGTTTGAATATCAATTTACACTTAACAGGGATTCTCAACCAATACCTGACTTGAGTTTTAGATTTTGTTTCCTATTTAAGCTATTCCCTAAAATGCAATTATAAATCAGTTTTGTGATGTTTTTACATTACCAAACAAGTACAAGTTACTTGAAATGATCAGATGTCTTATCATGGACAGTGGCCTGATTGATTATAGCTGTAAAATTGATCTCAACACAATTACTTAAAAACACAAAAATATAATGCTTTAACACAAAAAAATCACGTAATAATTCACTTAAGCATAGCAATATATTGGTTTACTTGTGTGTGTTTGAAGGGATTTAATTAAATGACTTGCCCCTTGATATGTTTAAGGGCTGGTTTGGAATTATATTTTAATAATATAGAAATAGTGTGTATTAAATCGTACGACAGTGGTCTTAAACCGTGTATAAACTAAGGTATAGGTAAGAGTTCCCTTGTCAAGTATTAGTTACCATGGTCAGTGAGAGTTATAAAACATTTAGTGAGCAGCTAAACCTGCTTATTGACTCATTCACCCCTAAAGACACATTTGAACCCTTCCAATTCAAAGGTTGGAATAGTTCATTATGATATTTCAGGGGTGAATGAATTGAACATCTCCTCAGGATGCTTGAGGCCAAAGTATTGAATGTGTGAAGTAAAGCCAAATACATATCTAAAACAGACTAAGGCAGGGATCTATACTAAGACCTTGTCATTATATCACTTATGGCTATTGACATGGACGTTCTGCGAGTCATGTCAATAAATCAGTTACTTGGTTGATGGTGCCCTCGGGGACCTGTGATTCAACACAGTCTATCATACTGTTTACTGGTGTAGGTTGGTAATGTCACAATGTCAATAGTTATTGATTTACAGCTTCTAGATATATTCTGCAATATTTTTTTTCAACCCCACAGAAAGCAGTGCCAAAAATATTATATTTTTATTTTCATGCTTAACCCTGAAAAGATGAATATAAGGGATTTTTGCTTTAGACAGCAGATAACAAAATTGTAAAAATGAAAATTTGTTGAACACAAGTTATTGGTTTCAAAGTCTATTTTCTATGTGATCATATTATAAAGCAATTTCATTTGTAAATGAAATGTCTTCCATAAGTAAGTTGATCTTGGTTGACCGGATATTCTGACATGTGTTTGTCTCCAGAAATGTATTAGGTTACTTATTGAATGTTATTTATGAACATTTTAATTGATTCATGTATTGTATCTTATTTAAAGAATGGTTGAGAAACAGAGGGTATAGTTGTTATGTAGTGAATATGTGTAGCGATTAGTTTCCCTTACGGTAATACGGTTGTCTCCCTTGTAGATGTATACATCACAGTAACTGCCTAAAGTAGACCACGGGATTAGATTAGCCCATGCTTAGACACATTCAAATGCATTTATAAAAAGATTAAATGTGTTTTAATTGTTCCACATTTTAGTAGAATGTTGGGAAATTGGGACAATTTTAATGTCCAAATTTGTATGTAATTTAGAAAAATATGGACTAGTCTAGTGACAATGATTTATGTAGTAAAATATAGACACAGCGGTGAATGGAAGGTAGGTGAGTGTGTGCCGTTAATGTGATATACACTATGGGCCGCTTCACATATCTCTTTGTTACCGGTAGTGGTGGAAAGTATAACTGGTTATAGCTATGGAAGTCATTGTCATGTCATTACACTTCCGCTTCATTGACGCTCCATTACCAACCCTCATATTTCTTGTATATGTTATAATACATTTTCTGGCCTCTTATACACGTTTTATAATAATTCTAGTTCTTCAACAATAGAGTATTTCTATGACTGCTTTAATTACGATTTTACTGATGTACTAAATCTACTACTTAAAAGCTTTAATATAATTTTAATTTGTAATTGTTTTTGTAATGATGTTTAACCAAAGTCTATCAAACTGGAAGGAGTTCGGAGTGTGAGACACTCCAGCAGTGGAAATTGATCCGTCAAGTTAGGTCACCTTGTAGATCAGAACTAAACGTTAGGTCACAATGTAGATCAGAACTAAACGTTAGGTCACAATGTAGATCAGAACTAAACATTAGGTCACAATGTAGATCAGAACTAAACATTAGGTCACAATGTAGATTAGAACTAAACGTTAGGTCACATTGTAGATCAGATCTAAACGTTAGGTCACAATGTAGATCAGAACTAAACGTTAGGTCACAATGTAGATCAGAACTAAACATTAGGTCACAATGTAGATCAGAACTAAACGTTAGGTCACAATGTAGATCAGAACTAAACGTTAGGTCACAATGTAGATCAGAACTAAACATTAGGTCACAATGTAGATCAGAACTAAACATTAGAGCCCGGAATCAGTACCAAACGAATCTGGTCTGTATAGAAAGTGACTGGGTCAGTTTTAAACATTAGAGCCTGGAGTCAGTACCAAACGAATCTGGTCTGTATAGAAAGTGACTAGGTCAGTTATAAACATTAGAGCCCGGAGTCAGTACCAAACGAAACTGGTCTGTAAAGGAAGGGACTATGTCAGTTCTAAACATTATAGCCCGGAGTCAGTACCAAACGAATCTGGTCTGTATAGAAAGTGACTGGGTCAGTAACAAATGAGCTATTTGCAGTTGTTGGTGTCCTTATTCCATAATCCTAAAGGACTGATCGTGGGCGGCGAATCCACACACACCTTCCTCACCTCCAAAAAGGTTAACTTCGCTGCCATTATCTGTTTGCCTACAACGCAACTAGTTTTGGTAATGACGGTATTGGAATGACCTCCCTTCCCCTTCAAAAGCACACAATTGAAGAAGATCATGGACAGAAGTAATTATTGGTGATAGTTACCATAGTGTGGTTTTGTGAGCAGAGAATAACCTGTCGTCTGGTACTGATACCAGCATTGTTAATATTATATCACTCCACCAATAGGATCTAAGTAGTACACCAAATGTAATCGTTTGTTAATTATTAACTAACAATTTTGTCCATACCGCTCTTTACGTTTGCCCGTAGTAGATATGTGACTTGCTTGTATTATATGTGCGATTGTGTGGGTGAATGGAATAGTGTGTTTTTTGCGTGTTTTAAACTCAGTATTTTTTTAGAAATTGAAATGACTTGTCTCTAGAATTAAAATCAACGACCGTATCCGATTGAAGTTTATTTTGGTGGTAGTCCTCATGAAACCTCGAATTTTCTTGAAATAATAAAATGTGCTCGTTACATGGTGGCTTTGCTTTTGATTCATCTTTACACATACGCATGCAGGTCTCTGACCGATATCTTAAACCAGATACGTATATACTACTTGATGTTGATTCTTTATACGTCTCTGCTTAAACTACGTCTCTCTTATGTATAAGTGCATGTACTTATGTTATGTCTTAAGCATACATAAACGTCTACAATGGGAGTGTTAAACCTAAGTTGTTTAAACCAAGTCCCTTAAACGTACACGTACTTCTGTGAACGGTGACACAAAGAAATAATATATTCCCAACGAGATCATCGTTGTGACCATAAAACTTGTTTGTGGCTCAATCAGCTTGTATCGTTGAAAACATTGAGTTGTAAGGTTGTCCGTAAGCGGTCAATTTCTATCATCGAAACCGAAATATTTGGACAAGCTCTTAAATACCAAATCAACAGCGTCGTGTAAAAACGTAGGTTTTGGAAGCAGGCTCGTTACTATCAAGAAGGGGAAAGATCATGATAGGGAAAATCGCAATTGTACAGCTATGTAGTAAGCCGTCCCTGTTATTCGTGTTGTAGGTAAATATCGAGGAAAACTGTCAAGAAGAGTCTCTAGTGTTCTCTGTTTCAAGCTCAAGAAGGCATATACGATCGATGTAAACAATTCATTTCTTGTTATTTTAAACGGCACATCGTCGATATATATCTGAATGGGAAATCAATTGACTTGTTCAGTTTTATTTGTGACCGGTTCTGATAAACTCATCAATAATTCAGCCTCATTTTTAAACAAAATCCCGATTGCCAGAAGAGAGCTGAGGTTTGTTCCCATAGGAATGTCTAAGTCTTCTGGAAAGTCGATAAAGACTTTGTCAAACAGGAACGCATCATTTTTACAATTTCATCTTCAGTATACAGGTACATTTGTATTTCATTTTGGTTTTGTTTATTATTTTCACAACTCATACTCCAAAATAGTTGACAATTCATATCGACGTTAGGCCTTCTTCGATAAGAAAATTCTCATGATAAGAAAACGAAGACGGCGCTTCAGTTTGGTATGAGACTGAAAAGCTTTAAAGTTCTGTCAGAGGAAATAATTGAAGTAGAGGGTTGTTAAAAATTCACATCCAATTATTTCCACTTATGGAGTATACAATTTCACGACACGAGGGTAGCAACCCTATTGTTATAGTTCTAAGAGTGGTAGTAAGAAGTTAGGATGCTTGCCTTGTTAAGCAGATGTGTACTCGAACTCGTGTGTTGTGAGCCGAAGCTATACAAGGGCTATTAAAAAAAGGCTGGAAGGTAATCTTCAGATCCATTAGTTTGATGTTCAGATACATTTATACTATTTTGATATAGGATGACAAACAAATGAAAAACCGTTTTCATTTCGTTTATTTCAAGAACTTGTAATAGGAACCTCACCATATCCTGACGTTTAAAGCACGACACAAATGTCGACTTACAGTTACTACCAAACTGTATAAGCCATTAATGTTCCCTTTCTTGGTAGTAACATGCCACCCTCCCATGCTAATAAGAGTTCACACGTCGATTCGCTATTCCAGACTGGTATATGTTTCAGGCATGTCCGGATAGATGTGTTCTATTGAATAATTTAGCATGGATGTTCCATATGAGAAGGTCATGTTGTGGAAATGTTTTCAGATCTGATTTCCTCTTATAACATTTCCGTGTTTAAGTGCGCTACCTAGAAAAGAAATCATGTAAACTATGAAAAGGATTTGCATTTGAATAAATTATAAATTATACAAATTTCATGACATGCAGCCAGGTAGAGTAATTTTATAATGAACAAAATCAATGTAACAAAGAAATCAGGCAAAATAATGAAATGCAATTGCATAAACACATATCACAACGTACACACATAAATAAAAATGAGGAAAATAATTATATTTGTCAAAACCTAATGCTGGATTTGATGTAATGATGCACATGTCTAAAAATTGTTGTATTGATTTCAACCGAAAGTTGAGTATTTCCAAACAAAAGTAGATGTAAACTTAAATCAACATGCAAGGCATTCAAATTTTGGAGCAGGATGCGTCTTCCTCACAGTAAACACGCAGTAACAGTAAACATTACCTGCAGAAAACTATTTTGATAAGAATGACCTAGTTTATAATCGGTATGTTAACAAAATGTAAAGAATTCAGATGGCTTACCTGAAATACATATTCGTAACAGAGATGGAAATAATAATATTTATTTATGTTGTGCCACACTTGGTTGTCATCATTTTGTTAATAGTTATATACTGAAAATTTTCACGAAAACAGCGGTTATTTGGATACCTATGTCAAACCACATAAATGTCTTAACTTATAATTTTGGTAGTTGTTTCCTTTCTTCTCCAAAACGAAGCATTGCACACAAGATATGCATAACGTTTTAATGTAATAACTGCAAACTTTTGGCAGAAATACATTTTAGTGAAGGTATATTAATTCTTTAGAGTTTGGTTGTATACCAATTATAAACTTGGTCATTCGAACTTAAATCCTAAAATGTTCTTTTGGAATACCGAATATCCGATGGATTATTTTCTTACCAGATTCATTAAAAAACCTGACATATTTTCTTGCCGTGCTAACAGTATTTTATACAGGGTATATATTGCCTAACACAACATAAACACTAGGATGAATTCTACACTATATATTAGATAAGGAGTTAACCTGTCTAATTCCAGGGGCGATAACTGCAATGACATTGATTCGTTGAAAGTTATACAAACGGTTATTTCCCATTTAACATGAAAATATAGATTTTTACGGCTTCTATCGTTATTGAAATGAACTTTCAGTACATTTGACAATCTATATAGCAGAAGGGCTTGAGTAACGTGACATATCAGAAAGCAGAATCGTTGTTATATGGAGAGAAACGTTTACAGTCACACTTGTAACCAGAGACCACCATTGGAAACTGCATACAGTGATCTCTTATTGCGAGTGGTCTCATGACAAACATCGGTAGCCTCTTAATAGATTAATAGAAGTGGTCTCTTAAGCAGACTTGACTGATGGTCTCATTACAAAAATAGATTAATAGAAGTGATTTCTTAAGCAGACTTGACTTATGGTCTCATTATATAGGTAGCCTCTTAATAGATTAATAGAAGTGGTCTCTTAAGCAGACTTGACTGATGATCTCATTACAAAAATAGATTAATAGAAGTGGTTTCTTAAGCAGACTTGACTGATGGCCTCATTACAAAAATAGATTAATAGAAGTGATTTCTTAAGCAGACTTGACTGATGGTCTCATTACAAAAATAGATTAATAGAAGTGGTTTCTTAAGCAAAATTGACTTATGGTCTCATTACATAGGTATCCTCTTTTAATTAATCTATATTTATAGAAGTGGTTTCTGATGCAGACTTGACTGTATACAGAAGAAAAATTATCATGCCAGATTGTAGAATAGTTGTTATATATAGAAAAAAAACCCGAAATGTGTCCAAGTTCTAACATAATGTTTTTTACACTCTTTTGTTCTTATGAAACCATGTAAACTAGATCTAATCGATTTGTCTAAAAAAATATATATAAAAGTTTTGTGATATTCTTCTGACAGGAGTAAAACAGGAGTGATACAGTTCCTTCATTAGAAGTATTCTCTCAGAATCTTTGAACTCTTGTATCGTAAAACTTTTAACGATCCTTTGGTACTGAGTACGCTCATTGTTATATATGTTGTTGAAGCGAAAGGACAATTAGGAGAACGAATGAGTGGTCATCGTTTGGCAGGGATCCATGGATATAATCAATATTTACATCACGATTTACGTATTCAAGAGAAAATATATCATTCTACCAATTACTCTACAACAGTGCCCCGTACTGTAGGGAACGAGACGAACTCATATACTGTCTTTGCTAACTTATAGGAGGTGTAATCGTAGTGATTGACACCGACATTATTGCAGTTTAACTTAATGCAACATTACGTTGGAAGAACTTATGCGAACTCTACAGAAACTATTAAGTATCCACTTTATTCAAAATACATTATATTCACTTCCTATCTCTGTACTACGAACATCAAAAAATGGTTAATTTAAATCTGTTCTTGTTTACATTTAGAAACTAGCTTGGGGACTTCATAAAATCAGTTAGAATGCGGCACAAAGTCTACTCTATTAGCCTGTTCGTACGAATAGTCACCCAACTCCGGTAACTCGGCATTTTGTGAAAGTCGTTTGCCGTTAACGGGCTGTTTGCCATATGCATCAGTGATATTCTTCATGACAAGTTCAGGGAAGTTAATATGCCGCGATATTCCATACACAAAACTTTCCCAATTATTCAGTTCTAAACCCGTTGCTTTCAAGCTTTTTAACTTCAGGCAAATCCTACAATAGTTGAATTTATATGACCTTAGAGTATCTCCTCTCTGTACAAATATGGTCCAAATAGAGACGCAAAAACGATCGATCTAAATATTATCAAATATATAAGTTAGGAAAGATTTTCCTTCAGGGTCCAAAGTAATAGTATCGTGATCTCTCAACTCTCAATTATGCAATATACTAGCTGTGTGGAAGACTACACCAGACAATGGACTATAGGATGGCATGGATTCAGTCTTATAGATCAGTCATTCTAAAAACATTAGTCTAAGCAGCTCGAAATACAAAAACAACCCCTATATTTTTTTTATCCCGATGTCCAAATCACACTCGATGATTTGTTTGATACGTATATGGTTGTGTCCCAACGCAAAGCATCCGAATTCTCAGAACTGAAGGAACGTCGCCGGTCTTTTTTTAATGGAACTTTCCCCTAGAGAGGCGAACGGCGTTAAAAAGATATTGTACATTGGAGCACATTTTGTAACGAATTTTGGAAGGCGAAATCTTGAGAACAGTTGAGTTCCTGGTTGAAAATACTGATGCATAAAATGGCCTGGGATGAGGTCTGGGTATCTGCTGTAGTATTCATGTGAAGTGGCACTATAAAAGATGTCATTGGAAGCACGGTCCCACTACAAATAGAATACAA